CCCCCCCCACTGGTAACCACTAGTTTGTTCTCTGTATCTGTGAATCTGCTGTTTTGTTATATTCACTAGTTTGTTGTATTTTTTTAGATTCCACATATAAGTAATTGTTATACACTTATATGTGGAATTTTTCTCTGACTTATTTCACTTAGCATAATGCCCTCCAAGTCTATCCATGTTGCTGCAGATGGCAAAATTTCGTTTTTCTTTTTGGCTGAGGAGTATTCCATTTTGTGTGTGTGTGTGTGTGTGTGTACCACATCTTCTTTATCCATTCATCTCGGTTTTTTGCAGGGTTTTTTGGTACTTTTAAAAATTTTATTAAAGTACAGTTGATTTACAATGTGTTAATTTCTGCCGTACAGGAAAGTGACTCAGTTATACATACCTATATTCTTTTTCATATTCTTTTCCATTATGGTTTGTCACAGGATATTGAATATAGTTCCCTGTGCTGTACAGTGGGACCTTGCTGTTTATGCATCCATCCTATATACAGAAGTTTGCCTCTGCTAATCCCAAACTCCCACTCCTTCCCTTCCCTACCTCCCCCACCCCCGCAGCCTCAAGGCTGTTCTCTGTCTGTGAGTCTGTTTCTGTTTCATAGAGATGTTGATATGTGTCATACTTAGATTCCACATATAAGTGATATCATATGGTATTCATTTTTCTCTTTCTGACCTACTTTGCTTAGTATGATAATCTCTAGGTCCATCCATGTTGCTTCAGATGGCATTATTTCATTCTTTTTTTGAAGGCTGAGGAATATTACATTGCATATATATACACCACATTTTCTTTATCCATTCACCTGTTGATGGATGCTTAGGTTGCTTCCGTATCTTGGCAGTTGTAAATAATGCTGCTGGACATTGGGTTGCGTGTATCTTTTTGAATTAGTGTTTCTATTTTTTTTGGATATATACCTGGGAGTGGAATTGCTGGATCATATGGTAGTTCTATTTTTAGTTTTTTGAGAAACCTCCATACTGTTTTCCACAGTGGCTGCACCAGTTTACATTCCCACCAACAGGGTGCAAGGGTCCCCTTTCCTCCACATTTATTTGTGTTCTTTTTGATGATCACCATTCTCACAGACATGAGGTGATATCTCATTGTGGTTTTTTTTTTTCTGGCTGCGCTGGGTCCATTGCGGCATGCGGGTTCTTCATTGCAGCGCACGGGCTCAAGCTCACGGGCTCAGCAGTTGTGGCGCTTGGGCTTAGTTGCCCTGTGGCATGTGGGATCTTAGTTCCCTGACCAGATCTTACCTGCGTCCTCTGCATTGGAAGGCGGATTCTTAACCACTGTGCCACCAGGGAAGCCCACCATACTGTTTTGATTACTGTAGCTTTGTAGTATAGTCTGAAGCCAGGGAGCAGGATACCTCCAGCTCTGTTCTTCTTTCTCAAGATTATTTTGCCTATTCGGGTTCTTTTGTCTTTCCATACAAATTTTAAAATAATTTTTCTAGTTCTGTGAAAAATGCCATTGGTATTTTGACAGGGACTGCAATGAATCTGTAGATTGCCTTAGGTAGTATGGTCATTGTAACAATATTGATTCTTCCAATCAAAGAACATGGTATATCTTTCTGTCTGTCTGTGTCATCTTCAGTTTCTTTCCATCAGAGTACAAGTCTTTTACCTCCTTAGGCAGGTTTATTCCTAGGTGTTTTATTCTTTTTAACGTGATGGTAAATGGGATTGTTTTCTTAATTTTTCTTTGATACTTAAATGCGAGAGATTTCTGTACATTAATTTTATACCCTGCAACTTTACCAAATTCATTGCTGAGCTCTAGTAGTTTTCTGCTGGCATCTTTAGGATTTTCCATGTTTAGTATTGTGTCATTTGCTAACAGTGATATTTTATTTCTTCCTTTCCAATTTGGATTCCTTTTATTTCTTCTTCTCTGATTGCCATGGCTAGGGCTTCCAAAACTATGTTGAATAAAAGTGGTGAAAGTGGGCATCCTTGTCTTGTTTCTGATCTTAGAGGAAATGTTTTCAGCTGAAAGCATGTCCCAACATTTTTATTGTGAAACACTGTAAACATACTGCAGCACTGAGAGAATTTTATAATGAACAGTCATATATCCCCCCGCTAAAGTTTACCATTAACCTTTTTTGTATTTGCTTTTGTATTTTGCTTTATCACATGCATCTCTCCATCCCTGACTGACTCCATCCTGTTTTGGGGGCATTTGCAAACTGTAGACATCAGTGCTTCCCAGGTTTTTTGTTTTAATTGTACTCTAAAGAGCACACCTGGTTCAGGCAGGCGTCACTGAGCAGCTCTGTGCCCTCCCTGAGCATGATTTCTCTCTTTCTCTGCTGCCCCTACCAGACCCTACGGGAGATTGTGATTGGTGTTCTACATCAGTTGAAGAACCAGCTTTACTGACCAGCTCTTGGAACCTGCAGAACAGCCAACAAGAGGCCTTGAGTCTCCTACTTGGCCGTGGAGCCACTGGGCTTATGAGATTGGACTGTGACACTGCATACCAGTCAGCTGCTTTCTCCTCAGTGTTTGGCTCCCCAGCTCCCCCCTCCCCCTCAGCCCCATCTTCAGTGGGGCTGGGAAGGGGGGAAGGTTATTAGGAAAGCTTTGATTAATTTATTATACTGACCGTAGATCTCAAACCTCTTTCCCCCTCCCCATAGAAGTCCTCGGGATGGGGTCTGCTCTGGGCATCCTAAAAAGCTCCTGGCCTCTCCCTTTTTCTAAGCCTCAGATTTCTGCTCATATTTGGTAACTACTGTTTGCCTGTTTTGGTCTCTCCGGCCACATTTAGCCTGAGTTTGGCCACCTGGGCAGCAGTTGGATGGGAAGAAGGGAGTAAGGGAAAATACTCTCACAGCCGCGAAGGTGGATGGCGGCCTCGTGCCTAGGCTAGGGCTGCCCGGTCAGCCCAAGGTGAGGCCAGAGCTTTCTCTGGGCAGCTCAGGGCAGGGCTGCCAGCTTCCTGCCCTTGCCCCCTACTCTGGGTGGTGGAGGGAAGCAACCTCTTCACCCGTTTCTGCCCTCTGTGTCCCCACAGGCAGTAGCACTGCACAGCAAAGTCAAATGTGACACAACACTACATATTAAATGTTTTAATTTTTCTAAACAACAATGCAATTTTGCTAAAGTTACAATTTTGGAAAATTGGTCTCAAGACCACTCCCAGGCTTTCTGTCAAGTGTATCTGGGTCTCCACCATCTCAGTGCTGCCTGCATTTCTCCCAGGACTTGGGGTGGGGTGAAGGTGGGTAGAGAAGATTTTCTAAAGGTCTCCTGGAGTGTAGAGCCCAGGAGAGTCCTGGGTGAGGCCCTGGGCTCCTTGAATGCTGTGCATAGTAGCCTCTCTCTGCCCTTGTCCCCCAAGCTCTCTTTTGCCTTCCTTGGGTTTGATATCTGGGAGGTCTGATTATCCAGAGGAAATTAAATATTTTTATATCAAATTATATTACAATAAATATTGCCAAATGCTTTCCTTTTGCATTGTTCCCCATCTAACTAACTGTTAAGTTCAGGCAGTCAAAACGTGGATGACGAAATGAGTGAAACCATCCTCTCTGGGCCACCAGTGCTCCACCCAGTACTTTGGTGTGTGCCCCAAAGCAGACAGCAGCAGGAACAACAAAAAAGCTGACCTACACAAGGCAGGCAGTCCAGGACATCTGTGTTCCCAGGCCTGCCGGAGGGCCTCAGGGATCTGGGAGCTTGAGGTTGTAATCTTCATCTGTTTCTATCCCAACTTCCTCCTGCCGGGGGGCAGCAAGACAAGTGAATGAGACCTCCCTGGACGCAGGCCCCAGGGGAGCAAGGAAGGGGGAACACCACTTACAAAAAACTGCTTCTTGCTCTTGGGGTATCCTTCAAGGATTGCATCACACAGCTCTGTTGCCTGACAAGAAACAAAACCACCCCCTTTCAGACGGGCAGTACTCGGCTTGCCTGACGGGTCCGTGACACCCCCGGTGGCTGCCGCTGTCCAGGGCCTGCCTAGAGTCCCCCGCGCTTACCATCCTCTTGCGCTTCCTCCACTCCTTGCAGTACCTCTGCCTCTCTCTGTACACCTAGACAGGGAAACAGGTTCCTCTGACCCCCTCAGCCCCACAGCAGCCGCTTGGGTCGACTCTCCTCACTTTGAACCTGCACAGGCAGCCCTCCCTGCTCCCCACTCCCTCCCCACCCACCTGCTCTTTCTCTTCTGGAGTCACGTGGTTGGTGGCCGCTTTGATGTTCTTCAGTCTCTCTGTGTAGCCAGCACATTCCTTCTTTAACTCCTGGATCTCTTTCTGCATCTCCGGTGTGGTCAGGGCACTAGCTAACTCCTTCAGCTCTAAAACCACATCCCCCGGAGAGGTCACTGGCTACCCTGAGGTAGGAGACCAGGCCTCCACCTTGCTCTGGGCTCTATACACAGGGTCCAGAATGGGTCCCATATTCTGGAAATCCTCAAGAGAGATTAAGGCTTACAAAATTGTCAGTTTATTCTAGTTTTCTTCCCTTCCCCATCTACAAATAGTTGAGGGGAATGAGTCTGAGTAGACTGTTAGCTGTAGTCAGTTAAAGAAGCAGAGTAAAGGGAAGTGTGGGAACCGTATACTGGTACTCACAGTAGGGAAGGCAAATGCCTGTCTTGCCCACTTGTCTTCAAAAGCCGTTAGTTGTTAGACATTGATTTTAAGGTAATGCCTATGACAGCCCAGCAAAGGGATCTTTGCTGCAAGAAGACAACACTGCAGTCAACAAACCCTTCACTTGGTAATTCCTGACCTCAGACTGACCCTGACACTAGGGGTACCTTCTGGGGGTTGCCCAGTCCTACCAGCCTCCATGTGGCGACAGCTCTGCTGCAAGCTCTGCACCTTAGCAGTGAGGGCCACGATTTTGGCATCCAGGACTTGGAGGTCAGCATCACTGACCATGTCAAATTGTTCCTGCCAGAGACAAAAGGAAAAATACAAGCAGGCTGATGGGAGAAACAAGAAGGGAACCCACATTTGGGAAGGCAACATTCATCCACACTTGAGAATCTGGGACTCCCCAACCCTCCAGAGGGCCTGGGAAGATAGAGGGCACTTTTGAGCAGTCAGTTTAGTGCCAGTCCGCTCAAAAAGCCGCAGAACAACAAGCTGAAACCTGATACTTGTCCTCAAGGGGTTTTGAGGTGCAGGGTACTGAATAACAGGACAGAAATATCTTTCAGGTTACTGGCAAAAGCACTCACTGGGCTGAAGGAGTAAAGGAACATTCTCCTCAAGGTGATGATACCTAATTACGGGTTTCCACAATAGGAAGAATCTGGACAGGTGAAGAGGCATGGTGGGAGGTATTTAGATAAAGGATACCAGTGAAGTCTGAGGAACCTCTCCCATGAGACCAGCAGCTAGAAAAGGCCTGTGCTGGGGCTCAGTGGGGTCTTGTCAGTGGTGATGGGAAGCAGAATGGAAAGGATGGGAATACCAGCCCAGGCAGTTTGGACTCTACATTCAGGTGAGGTAAACCATTAGGGCAGGAGGCAGCAAACTACAGCCTGCAGGCCAAATCCTGCCAGATGCATGTTTTTGAAAAAAACTTATGGGAACATAGCCACATCCACTTGCTTACATACTGTCCATGGCTGGTTTTGCTCTACAGTGGCAGACTTGAGTACTAGTGACAGTTGTGTAACTGGGACAAGAGACCATCTAACCTGCAAAGCATAAAAATATTAACTGGCCCTTTACAGAAAAAAAAAAAAAAATCTGCCAACTTCTTTAAGGGATCTTCAATAGAGCAGTAATATAATGAAACCTATTTTAGGATAATTAGCCTTGACGTGGATGTTAAATCCTGTGGGGTTACTGAGTAAAGGAAGGTGAGAAATGGGGTCTGCACCAGAACAGCTTCAGTTTTGTGAGGGAGACAAGTGAAAAGACAATTACAATAGAGTATGCCTCAAAAGAGGTAAGTGCCCGAAGAAGGCAGTTAGCTCATAGCATTCAGGGAAGGTTTCTGGAGGTGATGCCTGTGTGAAATCCTAAGGGATGAGTTAGAGGTATCTGGGCAAAGAGAAAGAAGGGACTCAAAAACTCTGAGCAGAGAAAGGACAATGAGCAAAGACCACAGGAGTAAAACACATCTAAATGGTCTAGTATTGATGAACGGAGAAATAACAAGGACAGGAGAGGCTAGAGGCAGGCTGGGGCCAGGTCTCCAAGTGCCTTTTATCTGTTCTAGAGAGCACTAGAGTTTTCAGTAGGGAAACGGCATGACTAGATTTGTACGTACATAGATTATTCTGGCTGCAATGTTTAAGATATGTTTAAGGATGCCAGGAGTTAGGAGGATACTGCAGTAGATGAGGAGCACCTAAACTAGAGCAGTGGTGGCAGCTGGAAAAGGAGAGGATGGATTCGAGAAGAGGAAAACAACTGGATTTGATGGCTGACTAGGCATGTGAAATAAGGAAGTTAAGAATGATTCCCCAGGACTTCCCTGGTGGTCCAGTGGTTAAGAATCCACCTTCCAATGCAGGGGACGGGGGTTCAATCCCTGGTCAGGGAACTAAGATCCCACGTGCGGGTGGGCGGGGGGCAATTACGCCCCCCACCACAACTAAGAGCCAATGCAGCCAAAATAAACAAATAATAATAATAAAAAAGAATGACTCCCCGGTCTCTGGCCTGGTTGAAGAGTGATTCCATTAAGAGAGAATACAAGACGAGCCAGTTTAGGGGAGAGATGAGGCATTCTACTTTGGCAATACTGATTCTGAATGGCCTGAAAAGCATCCAGGTGGGGGGGTCTGGGCTGGAGATACAAAGTTAATGTCACATGTGTTTACGGAAGGGGGTGGAGATAGAAGGAAAATAATTTGGAAGACGGTGGTTCTCATCTAGATGATTGGGAATAAGAACTTCCAAGAATAAATGGACCTCGATAGCAACAACTCAGTGTCTTCTGTCCTCTATCATATTTCAAGTCTGGAAATCTCATGAAGTTTGGATGACAGCAAAGGGGGTCCACACTTTGACTTAAAGGCTGGCTGGGACCCTTTTATTGGCCTAAGACCGGTGAATTTCACAGGATGCTTCAATTCTCCCAAAGAGAGTTCATACCAGGGACTGACTGACCTAATGCCGGACTCTCACACACGTGCTAATCTGCACGTTTCCCTCACCTGGTCAGCAAAGTATATCTTCTGTTTGCCGTACATCTTCTCTTTGATCTTGCCTTGTTGGGCCAGCTGGTCCAGCGCCTTCACCACCGCCTGGCAGAGGGGAGGGGGCGGAGAAGTCGGGGGAGTGACTTCGGGCCGGGCTGGGGAATGTCACCAATGAGGCGGGAAGAGCCCGAAGAGCCTTAGGAAGCCCAAGGCTAGAATGGCAGCCTCGGGAGGGGAGGAACCCAGGCTGATTCAAGGGGTCCCAGGGGAGGAATCCCAGGAGAGGGTCCTCACCGCCTTGCCCAGTCCGTGTTCCCGCTGCAGGTTCCCGAACACGTCCTGGGCGCTGTAGGGCCGGTTCTGCTCCTGTAGGTACCTCAGCAGGATCCCGGAGGCTACGGAGAGAGACGAGGCGGGGAAGGGCTCCCTCAACCGACCCCTGCCCGCCCTCCTCCCAGGTCTCCCGGCGCCCACGGCCGTTACCTCCCGCCACGGCTTCCGCCCGGCCTTTACTCATGTCCTTTACCGCCACAAAACTCCGAAAGCCGGAAGTTGCAGTTGCTCGGGGCAACAGCTCCTTCCGGCGATGAGCCGGGCTGGCCTCAAGTGGTGATTGGCGGAGGGAAGACTTCGCGAGAGGCGGAACAGCCCTTCCCGGACACCGTAGTTCAGCTCGGCCGGGAACTCGGGCGCTGCGTCTCGCCGGCCGGGTCCCGGTCTCTGCCGGCGAGCCCGGGCGCGCGTTTCGAACCTCTCCCTTACTCCTCTCGGAACCAGGGCTGTAGGGAATCACGTGCTGAAGTTTCGGGACCCAGTCCTAGCGGCCGCTGGGCACTCGTGACCTTGAACTGGGCTGAGTATTCGAACGGAAAGAAACCTCAGCATCACCTCCCGCTGGGCAAGCGACTTGCTCAAGGTCACAGGGCCAGTTACCTACGGACGTGTCCCCTCCCACGGCCCAAACCTTTCAGTCGCTTTTTATCATTTTTTGTAAAACGGCAACAACAGATGTCTGCAGGAGGGGACTTGTGAAGACAATAGAAGGGATAAGCGCCCTGGAAAGAATAACGCTGCCTTAATTTGCCCGTTACCGAGCTTCGCACACAGGGGGCGCTCAGCACATGCTGTGGTTGAAGGTAGGGTTGGGAGGGGGCTGCTCTTAAGCCACAATGCTTGTAGAAGTTTCCTCTTGGCCGAGACAATCTATGGCAACACCTGGCAGGTGCTTTCCACTCCTGCCCACATCGGCCAATGGGACAAAGCCTGAAATAAGTATTTCTAGTTTCTGAGGTCAGCTGAAGGCCAAAGAGCAGCTGTTGAGTTGCAGGTTCAAACAATCCAGAGGGCCATGGTGCTGCTGTTTAAAGCTTCTATTACCTAAAATCTCATTAGCCATTGAAACCTGTGCTTGTCTTCACACGTTTAGGGGGACAACATTAAGAATTAGAAATGACGGAACTGCAGGCTAGATGCCAGCCAAGAGTGCCGGTTATGCTCACATCTGGGCTCCCCTGGAGAGGGGAAGAAGCCTCCCACCATGGTGATTTTTCTGGCCATCACAGAAGGAGAAACAGGGATGGGCAGGTGGGTCCGTCACACATGGGCTTCCTCTTTTGAGGCTATCACCTCCTCAAATTAATATCATCTCAGATTAACAAGACCTATCAAAGGATAAGGCACCATTCAACATCAGTCTCTTAAAAGATTGTTCTCATACAAGATTTATTCCCCAGCACCCCTCCCTCCCTCATCCCCATCCCAATTCACAGTGGAGGACTAAGGAGATTCAGAGCAGGATCCGCAGGTACAAGAAACACCTTCCAAAGATTTTGCTCTCCTTCCTTCCCTCCCTCTTGCCAATCCCCACGGCCCGAAGCTAAACACACTCATGCAAACACACAAAGTCCCACTCCTTTCCCACACCTCCTGTTTTTTCCACATCAGAGCTCACTTGTAAGACATCTGGGCTCTGGGAAGAGAGAAGGTATCCGAAGTCTGTTTGAGAACACTAAAGTGGGGAGAGGCCGCTATCCTAACCTTCCACAAAGGGAAGTGACTATGAATCAGACACCTACCTCTTCTCCCTTCTCACTGTTGACTGTTTTCACTCCTTGGCCTCTACCTTGTCCATCAACCAAGAGCAAACATGTTAGCACACTCCCACCTGCAGCACGTGAAAATGGGCTCTGTCCAACATCCCTCACCCAGCTATAGGGGTGTTGGGGGAGTGGTCCCTGAGGATCAGCAAAGGGTTAATGCAGAGGGAAAG